GCTCGCTCGCTCGCCTCGTGTCCCTGATGGTGATCATCATGGCTGGCGCGGGGTCTTCGGAGCTGCTCGAACTCTCCTACACGTACAACGTCGACGCTCCAACCTCTCCTAAACTCACGCCCTTCACGTATAAAGTCCTCAAGAAAGGGTACAACGACTTCGGCGTCTGGTAAGATGTCAAACACCTGTTCTTTACAGGGAATTATGAAAAACTTTAAAACGGCTTTTGTGGGATTGAGATAAACGACGAGAGTATTAGGTAATGATAAGATAAGCTAGCGCCTGGTCGTATTTCGGCGCGTGTTTGATTGCTAATGATGTGAAGGCGAATGGTGAAAGCACTAGAGATGATTGCAATATTTTTCGGATAAACTAATGCCCGACAAAATTGCCGGACGTGAACTCTGGCCGGACGTACTACATCGCCGTTACAATTAGCTTGGGCAAATACAGTAAAATCAAATGGCTATTGGCTCGCTCCCCCATTGCATTTATTCCGAAGGTGAAGTTGCATGGGAAAGGCAAGATTTTCTTTTCTTTATTATCACTATTGATTATTCCCTTTTATTCGCGACCTTACTCCATTAGCTTCTCAACGTTAGTATGATTTAATCGTAACTATTGGTTATGCCATTTTATCCATAAACTTACTCAGTTGATTTCTCAGCGTTGGTATGGTTTAATCGCAGCTATAAACTAATAAACTTCTCTTCGTCTTACAGGGTGGAGTTAAATGAGTTTTGTGCTTCGGAGCACTCGGGGACGCATCTGGACGCGCCCGTGCACTTCGCCAAGGACCGCTGGGGCGTCAGCGACATCCCCCTCGACCGCCTGTGGAGGGTGCCCGGTGAGAGAGAGAGAGAGAGAGAGAGAGAGAGAGAGAGAGAGAGAGAGAGAGAGAGAGAGAGAGAGAGAGAGAGAGAGAGAGAGAGAGAGAGAGGCAGAGAGGCAGAGAGAGAGAGAGGGGGGGGCAAGAGAGAGAGAGAGAGAGAGAGAGAGAGAGAGAGAGAGAGAGAGAGAGAGAGAGAGAGAGAGAGAGAGAGAGAGAGAGGTAGAGAGAGAGAGAGAGAGAGAGAGAGAGAGAGAGAGGCAGAGAGAGAGAGAGAGAGAGGCAGAGAGAGAGAAAGAGGCAGAGAGAAAGAGAGTGAGAGAGAGGAAGAGAGAGAGAAAAAGAGAGAGGTGGGGGGAGACAGAGAGGGAGAGGGAGGGAGAAGATAGAGAGAAATGGGAAGATAGAGAGAGAGGGACAGGGAGAGAGAGCATGAGTGACTGAGTATAAAGAAAGAAAGAAATTGAAATATAATGCTTATGCAGTCGAACACCTGATATAACAACCCCCTCCACACCCACTAGCAACATTTAACAATTCTTAACAACTACCCGCCCTAAGACAATGATAATAAATGATGATAATAAAAATAACAATAATAGTACAAGCCCTCCACCCCAAGCTGATAACACCCATACTACCAACCCCTCCATCCCAAACTGTTACCAACCCACCATACCAACCCGAACACACACCACAGTTCGACTTCAACCCCGCCTTTCCCCGCCCATAGCTGTGGTCATCGACGTGTCCCGGGCCATCGAGCGGTCCGGCCAGATCGACTACCCTATAGCGGTGAAGGACCTCGAGGCCTGGGAGAAGGTGCATGGCGTGATCCCCGACCACACCCTCGTCCTCGTGCGCACGGGCTGGGGCCTCAAGAGCGGCGACCTGCAGGCGTATTCCAACGTGGACGAAACCAATACCAACCACTTCCCCGGTAGGAGAGGCGGGGGCTTGCTGTGGGGCCCTTGCTTTAGGCTTTGGGATGCTAAGGGCTCGGGTGGATGTGTCTCGTCTTATTCACTTGATCTGATTTTTGTTTTGTTTTTTTGTTTTTCTTTTGTGTGTGTAGTATATTCTTATATTTATCTATTCATTTTCTTGTTTGTTTCTGTCGTTGTCAATTTTGTGTTTTTTCTCTTTTTCTTTCGTTCTTTTGATATAAACTTCCCTTTCTTTTTTTGCTGTTTTTTTTGTTTGTTTGTTTGTGTGTGTGTTTTCTTGGACTGACAGAAATGGTTGGTATTCTTTTGTTTGTTCTTCCTTTCCTCTTTTAGGTTATTTTATGTTTTTCTTGTTGGCCTTTTCTCTTACCATTATCCGGCATATTGTCTATCATTATCACCACAATAACATTTATTGCGATTACTAGTTCGCTTACATTTCAGACACATTTCAGACACAGCAAACTGAACTAACAAGTATATTTATAAATGCAATTTACAGATTGATGTGGTTATTAATCCCGTCAAACTGCGAACGGGAGGTTATAAATCATAGAATCAGTTAATAAAAACATACATCTGATTTCGACATATTTCGTTCTGTTTAATAATAACAATGACAAAAAACGGGCTGTGAATACTTGATAAAATAGCTTATGATTTCGTGCTCATATTTTTCAAAATGTTTCACTCTCTCTCCTGACAGTGACATGAAATTTGGATAGACGATATAACAATACGATTTATCGCTAATCTAGGTCTTCGTGTGCGATACAACTACATGATTTAATAGTGATATAGACGATATAATCAATACAATTTACTGATAATATAAATCTTACATAGACATAATTAAATAATTCATTGATAACATAAATTTTACATGGCCGATATGAAATAATTTACTGATAACATAAACCTGACATACACGATATATCAGCATAATTTACTGACAATGAAAACCTTACATTGACTATTTAAAATAATTTACTGATAACATAAACCAACATAATCTATTAATACCATAAACTTTCCATGGACGACACACAATTCCCCAAATTCCTTAATTCCACACTATCCGTCCAGTTGCAACTTCTGCAATCCACACGCACACACACTCGGAGGGGGGGGGGCATTTCTTTTATGACGTCACACCTCATTCCAGGTCTGAGCAAGGAGGCAGCGACCTGGCTAGCCACCCACGGACAGCGACACGGACACCGCACAGGCATCGTGGGCGTGGGCGTAGATACGATCTCTGTGGACGTGGGAAATTCGACGAGATACGGCGCCCACGAGGCTATGTACTCGCGGAACCTCTTTGGACTGGAGAACGTCGCTAACATGCATAAGGTAAAGGTCGTGTGGGCGCATGGGTGAATGAGTGGGGTCGGTGGGTGGGTGAGTGGGCTGCTGGGTGAATGAGTGGGTTAGCGGGTCTTTTGGGTTTGTGGGTGGGTGAGTGGGTCTGTTGGGTTGGAGGGTGAGTGAGTGGGGTGGTGGGTGAGTGAGTAGGGTGGTGGGTGAATGAGTGGGGTGGAGGGTGAGTGAGTGGAGTGGTGGGTTAATGAGTGGGTCAGCGGCTGGGTGAGTGGGGTGGTGGGTCGGTGGGTGGGTGAGTTAGCTGGTGGGTTAATGAGTGGGCTGGTGGGTGAATGAGTGGGTCGCTGAGGGAGTGAGTGGGCTGGTGGGTGAATGATTTGGTTGATGGGGAATACGTAGGCTTATGGGTGAGTGAGTGGGCTGGTGGGTGAGTGAATGGGGTGGTGGGTCTGTGAGTGAGTGAGTGGGATGATGCCTGGGTGAGTAGATCGTTAGGCGGATGAGTGGGTCGCGGGTTGGGTGAATGGGTCGATGGGAAAGTGAGTGGTGTGAGTGGGTTAATGAGTCAGTGGGTGGATTGATAGATAGATATAAGTGGGTCGGTGGGTGGGTGAGTGTGTCGGTAAGTGGATTAAATGTGTCTGGGGACGGGTGAGTAAGTTAGTGGGTGGATGAGTGGTTCGATGAGTGGGTGAATAGGTGGATGGTTAAATAGTTTGATGGGGAAGGAATCGTAGACAAGAGGCTCGATGGGTGGGTGACTGGGTTAGGAGTGGGTGAAAAGGGTTGGGTGTTGGGGAGGGGAGAAGAGGGGATGGGGGGGGGGGAAGATGGGAAGGAATAAAGAGATAGAGAGAGGGAGGAGGAGGTAAAGAGAGGAAGAGGAAGAGAGAGAGAGCAAGAGAGAAAGAGAGAGAGAGAGCAAGAGAGAAAGAGAGAGATAGAGACAAATAGAGAGATGGGAGAAGAAAACCGAGACGGATAATCAGATAAACAACTATAGAGGAATGATATAACAAAATACGGAGAATAACCAGGGAAAGATAAACACGTCAAAAAGAAATCAATCCGACCGTCTCTCAGCTTTCTTTCTCCCCCCACCCCCACAGCTTCCCCCCTCGGGTTTCCGCGTCACCATCCTGCCCATGAGGATCGGCGGAGGCAGCGGCGCCCCCGCTCGCATCGTCGCCGAGCTGGACCAGCGCGCCGAGCCCCTCGCCAGCTCCTCCTCCAGGAACGCGGGCGTCTCCCTGGCAACTCTCCTGCCCGTGTTCCTGCCCGTGCTGATCGCGGCGGTGTTCGGGAAGAAGGGGGCGTAGACTGGATGGGCGTGCGGAGTCTGGATGGGCGTGCGGAGGGTGGATGGGCGAGTGAAGGCCTAGGGTAAACCTGCTGTGTGTTGGACTTGATACAGATAATATGTATTATTTTTGAAAAGTGATTAAATTTTCTTAATTCATATATGATACATCAGATCACATATGAGAGATATATTCTATTATCATCTCATGTTAAGACATTTGTTGCAATAAAACATCAGGTTGAAGTTTCAGTATGTGAGATGGAAATAAAGGTTAGTGTGTTTGTAACTTTAGATAGATTTTTCTTTTCGCATGTCCGTCAGATATGAACTTTTCATGGAGAAAAGGACTCAGGAAATGTGTTCATGTAATTACTAATAAATGGAATATTTGGTGTGATTAAAGCATGAAACACATACGATGGGCTTTTACTGTATGCGTCATATATCATAATACATTTTCCTTGAATACAGAAAAAGAAAGGCCGTGTAAGTGTGTGTGTGTGTGCGTGCGTGTGTGTGTGTGTGTGTGTGTGTGTGTGTGTGTGTGTGTGTGCACGTGTGTGTGTGTGTGTGTGTGTGTATGTGTGTGTGTGTGTGT